AACCAAATTGCGCCCAGCGCCCTCGAGGCAGAGACTCCCAAGGAGTCTCACGCCCAGCGCGACAAGGGCCGCGCTCAGCGCAGCACATCAATATCATCACTCAGCTCAACAACATTCATCATTAACAGCTTAAAACAGCATGATCAACACATAATACGACCCAACCATCTTGTTTACAACTCATCTATCTTGTCAAATTACTCACCCAAACAACAAGAGTACACCTACACACCTAAATAACTTTCAACTTAACCAAATAACTGAAAGTGAAATGGAAGCCTTCACAGAAAATAGCGCATCAGGAGTTATATTACTCCTACCATACTCATCCTCATCTCATATGAAAGATAAGAAGATTTACTACAACTCTCATGAAGACACCAAGTCCTAATTTCTTCATCTACCTTGTTAAAAACGATAAAACCGCAACAACTATAAACAAAGCTATCAGCTCGACCCCTCTTCACTAAAATAGCCATATCTAGAGTTCTAAAACTCTTTTTTGGGTGATTGCAACGCCATTGGAAAGCTAACATCCAAGGCTACAACTTTCATGAAGAATATAAAGTCAAATTCTGAAAATCAAATGCTCGCCCGGCGCGTTAAAAATCGCGCCCGGCTCAATTCCCAACCAGAGACCTACAGATGTCTATTGCGCCCGGCGTGGTTCTACCCGAGCCCGGCACGATTCACCCCAGAAATTCCCCTTTTCAATTCGAGCCCGGCGCGAAGAACTGAGCCCAGCGCAAATTCAAACAGGAACCCTTACCTACTTCGAAAATCTCATCAAAACCTGCGAAAAACACTAGGAATCCAACATGCAAACCATCCAAAAGCTTCCATTCTCATCAAATATCAATAAAAACGCCTCATTTCTAACATACAAACACAATTCATTAAAAACCCCAAAATTTCTTCAAACCCCGAAATTCTCTAAAAACCCCTTTTTCACCAAATCAGCCAAGAACCATCAATCATCAGCAATCACAATGAGTTCCTAGACTCATTTCAGCCAAAAACGCAGTAAAACTAACTTCCCTTACCTCGGCACAAGGATTTCCGAGCTCCGGGAAGAAGACAATGGAGAAGGAGAAGAAATGGAGAAGGAATTCGGCTTCCAGCTAGCTCCACACGGCTTGCGTTCGAGAATCTCTGTCTCTAGGAGTCCACAACTTCAGCTATAGAGAAAAAGGGAGAGTTGAGAAGATGGGAGAGTGAAGAGAATGAGTGAGGGAAAGTGAAAGAGGAAAAAGGAGAGAAAGGGGTCTCACACATGTGGTTATTAGATATAGAAAACTTATGATCAAACTCCTCTAGTGTGATGCATCTGCTTCTGATGCTCCATCATCTTTTTGTAGCTTCTCATTTACCACTAGTGGAGTAACAACATGTTTATAATTGTACATTTTGAACTTCTTCAACAAAGTTTTAAGAGATAAGAATTCCTTCTTTTTTTTTGTCTCACCTTCTATTCCAAGGAAGCAAGTCATCAAGCCAAGGTTAATCATCTCAAATTTCTCACCTCCATGTTGTTTCCTATGTAGATAAGATCATCAACATATATATAGGGAGACAATAAGATCATACTGATCCTATTTCTTGATATATAGTGTTGGTTGACTCTTGCAAGTTCTAAATCCTTGATTAGTGAAGTGTAAGCATTTTTCCTTTAAAGTGTTGAAATGGCTAAATCTTTAGTGTTGTAGACATGAATCATCATCTTGCACTTGCACTTTCATGGCAACGTGTGTAGCATATTTGAAATTTATGGGAAATCCTCTATTTCCTTTCTATACTTTGACTTGGGCTATATATCCTTTAAAGTAAAAGCATAGCTAGCCTTTCTCCATCATTAGCCAATTCTCAAGATATTTTCTTTAAGATTAGGAACAAGTGTAGGACATCATTAATGAGTCTCGTACCTTTCTTAGTTTCCAACATGACAATACCTTTACCTCAGGCTAAGGGACTAACAAATCATATTTATGAGGAATAGAAATTAGAATTTTCTCAATTTCTTTGTCAAAAATATTTTTGTCATATGCTCTCATTTGACTAAATAATTCTTTTATCATAGAATAATAATATTTTATAGCCTTAGACTCTTTCATTTTATTAACTCAAACTCACAACTTAGATATTGAAGTTTAATACTGTATACTTCACTACTTCCTTGAAACTCCTCTTATAATGTGTCTCATGTTTTCTTTGCACTTGTGACACCTATTATTCTTGAAAATATTGTGTCATCAACTACTTGTTGAAGAGTAAATAATGTCCTTGAATCCTTCTTTTTTTTTTCTTCAACTTCTTTCTCTGAATTGAAATAAGAGTTCATATATCTTTTAAAATAATAACTCATCTTCTATAATGTCTGATAAATCTTGAGAGTAAAACGATGTCTTCATTTTGACGCTTCAAAAATCATAATTCTCTTTCGTAATAATAAAGATTGAATTAGATGATGATTGATTAATAATGACCATAAGTTAAGAAAACATTTTAAAAGAAAGGTGAAATATAGTTAGATTTTTTTTTTGAAATAGAAGAATACTAAAAAAACAAATAAATTGTATAGTAGAATTTATTTGAATAGCAAATTAACTGGAACGTGAATGTGAATGTTTTTGGAGGAGCTAATGTGATGGAATTATGCCTAGGAGGGCAAAAGGTGATATCTTGAATGATCCAAGAGGAATGGAATAGACATGAAGATTTGGGTTAGTCAGAGCCCAATAGGCTTGATGGGCTTGGATGGCCTAAGTTGCTTCTCACATGGGTCACACCTTGAGACATTCATTTTCTTCTATGTGTATATATTATATTAGTATAGATTTCATATCTTTTGGTGTTGTATTTTGGATCACATAGATTAGCATTTTTGGGCTATAGACTTATTGGACCTATTCTTGGGCTTTATGGGCCTTTGGGCTTTTGGTATCTAATATTAAGCTCATTTTTTTTCTTTTATTATTTCTTAATGTTTGTGATAGGTTGGCCATTGTATTTAGGCCATTAGAATAGGAATATAAAGGAAAAGTTTAATTAGGAAAAGTTAGCTAAAATTAAGGTCACATTTAGGAGTAATTTGAGTTGCATTTGGTGTACATGGGCTAACCCACAAGGTGATGCACATGGACCACCCAAATCAACATCAAATTAACTCTAAATGCAACCTTAATGCACATGGAATCAGCTCTTGGATGTGCACGTGAGGCTGCCAAGAAATTTGAATTTCAAATCCCATTTGAAATTCAAATATTTGGCGCCAATTGTGCTCCTTGATTTGACACCATTATGCTTGCTTCCTTAGCCTATAAATTGGACTTTTCTCTTCACATTTCAGTACTTTGAACATTAATCATTAATGAGATTTCTAAAAATTCACTTCATCCAAGTCTCTTTCAAAGTCAACCCAAAGAGTCCATAGTCTTAGCCTTAGGAATCCTACGTTTCTAAGTCTTGTCCGTGGGCATTCTTTTGAGTTTCTATCTTGGATGCTTCCATCTTAGCTTAGGAATACACTCTTCTTTGCCCTCTAAACCGCATTCAAGTCCAGAATTCTTCATCAAGGAAGAAGATCCGTGAGCTTGAAGAAGAAAAAGGAAGCAAGTTCTTTCACTTCACTTCCCTATTCCATCGTAATGTAGCTTTTAGCTTATGGAAATGCTTATTATATATTTGCTTCACACTGACGATTACATCTCTTGCCTATATATAAAGGCTTCTTTCACCACCATATATGTGGCGATTATATCAAAAAATATTTCACATGTTTCTACAATGTTCCATTACAATCAGATTAGTATTCTAGAATCATGTATATATATTCCAGAAGTTCACAATATTTCTAGAATTTTCTTCTAAGCGTGAAGGGAATTTGCGGTATTTTTAACAACCCTAGTCTCTCACCATCTCGTCATCCTTTCATTCGCTATTATCACAGAATATATAGAATTAACTTAGCATATAAATTCAATTATTTAACACGGTAGTTTGTTTAACTAAACAAGGAATACATTTCAATATTACATCTTGGTGCAATCAATGGGCTTAAAGGACACAGTCTTCTTCACCAAATCATATCCAATCAAATAGTTCATCTGCGCCATGTTTCCAAAGATGGAATTGGTTTCTACTGGTGCAAAAGCAAAGCATATTACGTCATGAGAAACACTAACAAAAGTGTTTAAAGGATTCAACACAACGTCCGCACCAGTAAAATGTGCTGTAATAGGTGGAGCCACAATTACTTTTTTTGGTGGAGACTTGTAACAAAGGGTTAAAATGTGTTCTGGATTATGAACACGTTCTAATTTGATTTGTGCAGCCACTTCTGACTCCAATTTGGCGTAAAACTTTGCTGGCAAAAAGGTTAATGTTGTTCCTGTGTCGATTATTATGTTGCCATTATCATCATTGGATGTTGAATCATCTACAAGCTCTATTCTTTTGGACCCAACACTTATTCCCTCCAGTTTAAGGACATAAAAAGTATCAACTGGATCATGTTTTATTGGGGTAGAAACTGTCCCCGGACCAGCCACCACAGCATTTTTTCCGAAATTTAATTTACTTGTGGTTTTGGATTCAAAATTTGGTAACAAGCAATAGGAGAATTTGAAATCAATTGAAGGGCCTATTTTGGTGATAAGTGAAATACTACCCTTTCCTAGTCCAACTATACCAGAACCTTTAGGGTCAAATTTACCACCATTATTCACACCACAACCAATTGGTATTTTGGGAAACGCAACGGAGGAACCTGAAAAAAATATAGAAAAAAAAAATTAATATTCATTAATCAAAACATTAATTGATATGAATAAAAAATAAATAAAAACAAAAAATAAATAATAGGCATTAAATAAAAAAGCTTCTAATAATTAAATAAGCACAAAACCATATGAAAATAATTGTTCGTTTTTAAAATCATTTATTTCACATTAATTAAGAAATATAGAAACATGCATATAATTTTCACCATATCATGAAGAAAAAAATATATTACATCTATTAAGATATCTCTAATCACATTTATTGTAGATAATATTTTCATTTATTATTTTAAGGCTATCTTTAGATTAAAAGTATTAAATAAAATTGACTTAATAGAAATTTTTTTATATTTAACTATAAAAAATTTAAACAATTGACAAAATTTAGGTACAGTTCTTTATGTGTAATTGATGTTGTTCTCTAATCAAAATTGGGATCATTATTGACCACCACACCCTCACCTTGAAATGACATGGTTCAAATCGGTCCACTATTGACTATCATACACACATGTCTTGAAAAAAAGGGGTTCATATTGGGTTACTACTAACCACCACACTCTCATCTCGAAAAGACAGGGTTCAAATCGACTTACTACCAACTATCACATATTTACTTTAGAAAGACATGGTTCATATTGATTTGTTATCGACCACCATGCACTCATTTTACTTTGATAATATACAGTTATATTTAATATATATATATATATATATATATATATAAAGTAAATCCTTAATTTTGATTAAAAAATAATATTAAATACACTTAAAAAAACCTATACATAAATTTTATCCTTAAATTATATATTGGATTACCTCTTCTCCTCTTTATTAAATCTATCATTTTCCCTTATCCGAACTAAACAAAACTCCCTACCATTAAAACCCGTACCAGCATTTCCCTTGCTTCAAACCAAATAAACCCTTAACTAAAAGACCCTTATAATGTATTTAGATGGGGAATTTAAATGGATTAATTTATTCATTTGAATAATTTCAAATTCTTTGAGGTGAAATATCTTGTTTGGATGGAGAATTTATAAGGAATTTGAAATTTAAGTATTTGTAAAATTTCTTGAAATAATAGAATTTCAAATTCTCCCAAAAAAAGTAAGAATTTGAAATTCCTCATATTTTCTTTCTTATTTCACTTATATATTTTATCTTATCTCTTATTTCTTCAAGTTTTTAATTATTGAATATTCAAAAATATTTTTAAAATTATTAAATATTATCTAATATTAATTTTAAAAATTATTATAAATATTTAAAAATTAGCTAATATTTATTTTTATAAAATTTAATTTAAAAATATCAACATATAAATATATTTTTAAAATCAATTTTACCATGGTGGAATCAAATTATCATATCCAACCCAACAATTTAAAATTTGAGAAATTTGAATTGACTTATCCAAACAAAATATTTTAAGAATGATAGAAATTGAAATCAAAGTAATTCAAATATCAAGAATTTAAAATTTCTTGAATTTGTAAAATTTCTCATCCAAACATACCATTAAAGACATTCGTTCCTATGTCTTAAAATTTAAAAGAAGAAACATGCAAATTGAAATATCCTATCAGGTGGATTAATTGGGTCCTAACCTGTAGTAGAGCTCAAAGTGAGTGTTTCAAATGCAAGAGTTCCATTTGAATATGATCCATCACCGTATGCAATACTGTACTCGCAATTGGGATCAGTACCGGAATGGCACGAGGCTTCACCGTTTTGGCTTAGTGATTCACGCACCTTGGAATGGCAATAGATGGGTTGGTACGTTGAAGACTTGGAAGGATCGAACAGTGGATCGGTTTGGTTGTAACACTTTTCGCAAGGCTTGCATTGCAACCAAACAAGGTCACTCCCCGTGTCGGCAATGCCCATCACTTCAAACGGCGGCGTTCCAATGGAGTACTTCATGAGGTATTCTCCATGGCTGAGTGACATCACAGACTGTGGTGTCTTTTGGGGACGTTTTTTGTTTGGGTAGAAATGGTTCACGCGTTTAAAAGAGCGTTGCAAAGCGTTGTGAAGTTGCTGAAATGGGGTTTCGGTGGGGTCATAAAATGGTGATTGTGGGGAGTCTCTGTGAATGAGTTGTAGACTGAAGCCACCTTTGTGTGCCTCATCAGTTAGGGCTAATCCACACAAGCAAAGGATTGATAATGTGAGTGTTAAGAAAACAAAGATAACATTGGCGTAAGTAGCCATGTTTTGGATTGAATTAAGGGGAGTGGATGGAAAGGGCGTTATGTTTTAGGCATTATATACACTGGTGATGGATGAGTGAGTCAAGGCTGGTAGTTTAAGACTAGAAATAATATTTTTGTCAAGTGATCACCAAAAAACAAAGTCACTATGTGTCTCTGTTATAAAACAATAAATAAGAAAATCTTTTTAATTATTAATGTAGAAGTATAGATTAACTAATCAAGCGTTATTAATTACTCTTTCTGATTCATTTTATTTAATGTTTTAACAATACGTATTTATTCAATTTCAATTTGATTGTCATGACATCAATGTAACATTAATTTTTTTTTTCTTATTATACTCTAAATTTTTATTAATTCATTCTTTTGTTTATTTAATTTTTTTTTCTTTTGCAATACTTATTTTATTGGTGAGAATCTAAAAGGGTCAAGAATATACTAGGAAAGTTACTATTAGTCAAAAGATAATCTTAAGACTCCTTAGAACCTCAAGTTTTATGTCAATAAACATAGATATTTCTTTAGAGAAAAGTTTTACGAATAAAGTATTAAGAAGAATAAGACACTAAGATGATTGAGTTGTCTAGCCAGACAAAGTACTTAGTCTAACATACACACATTTTAATTTCATATCATTATGATGTCTAATAAAAGAATCATTTGTCTCTATATAATTCCTTAACAAATCGAATAAAAAAAAACTTTCTCAATATTTATATTCAGCTAAAAGGAACAAAAAACATACTTTGTTTCAGGAAAAGGCAAAAGATCCTCGCGCATGGTTCCACCCATTTGGTTTGTAAAAGGTGATAAGTAATCTTCTTGATCAAATAAGAAGTGACAATTTGGTGAAATACATTTAATGTAGGCATTTAATGCACTAATGAACACTTCTTTCTTTGACATCCATCTACCCTCAAGAATGAAAACAATTTAAACTCGTGAAAATCTCAAATACATCCTCATAGAAATCACAAATAGAATAATTCATACCATTGAAAAGTAAATAAATCGAGTAGTAGTAAACAAATTGTAATTCAATGATACTGAAATGACAAATAAGTAATATATTTCCTAAACTACTCCAATCCTCAGTGTCACATTGGCATCAGAGTTCCACACACACCTAGACCTCTCTCTGCTCCTCTCAAGATTGAGGACCCTCATTTGCAAAACATACAAAAGACACATCAACAACAAATAGGGAGTGAGAATAATCTCACTCTAAAGAATGGGCTGCAACCTTCGGCATCTCATCCCTTCACAATAAACAAATATAATAATTAACAATTAATATTTCAAAATATAATAACAACAACTTATGTTTCAAACTATAGTAATTAGGATTCATATTTCAACTATAATAATCATAATAACACATAACTTCAACTATAGATAACATTAATTCCATTCATCAACACATAGAGAGAAATGCAATGCGATGTGCACCTACATCTAAATGCATGGGGTACCCGGCTGATAGAAAGAAGGAAGAAGAAGTGAATATGAGCTCCTCCTTATCTTCTTCTAGGCACGGATCTTCTTCAAGGAGATGGAAACCACAATGATGAACACTTGTTGGAGGAAGAATCTCGGATATAGAAGAGGCTTAAGCCTTGGATGGAAGCATCCAAGCTTAAGGTGCAAGGGAAAGCTCACTTCAAAGAGGAGGAAACCTAATAGGGTTCCTAAAAGTGTAGCTCTCTCTCATGGTGACTCTTGAACGAAATTTGGCTGAATAAGCTCTCAAATTTCATTATTCTCAAAAGTGAATACAAAAGGTGAAAGAATGGCTTAAGTATTCACGGAATTGTGACCCATAGGTGCCTAAACTAAAGCCTCACAAAATGGCGCCTAAAGTTTGAATTCAAATTTGAAATTTGAATTCAAACTTTGGTGCACATGTGTAAGTCTGAAAATTTAGGTACCAAGGTGCATTTAGGTGTGATTTGAGAGTCATTTAGGGTTAATTTGAGTGGCACATGTTCAGCCACCCATGGTGCTAAACATGTGACTCAAATGTAACTTAAATGACTTCCAAATTAAACCTAATTTAACCTAATTAGCATACTTTAGTATTCCTTGTATTTTCCTATTCTAATGACCTAATTACATTGGTCAAACAATTACAATGGAAAGGAAAAATTACAAGAATGAAAATGAGCCCAATATTGGGTACCAAAAGCCCAAAGGCCCATGAAGCCCAAAACTAGGCCCAACTAGCCTAAAACCTAAAATGCTACTCTATGTGGTCCAAAATACAAGACCAAAATATATTCAAACTATGCTAACAAAAATATTATAAGAATGTTAATAACAAGATAGGCCCATGTTGAAACTTGGTTTGGGCCTTCCAAGCCCATAAGGCCCATTGGGCCTTGACAGGCCCAATCTTCCATGTCTAGCCCACTCCTCTTGGATCTTTGAGTGTGTCACCTCTTGCATTTCCAAGTATATGATTCCATCACCAGCCATCATCATCAAGAATATACAGTTGATACCTGATTCCCATGTTAACCTTAGGCTACCAAAATAGAAGTGTTACCATTAGAACACCAATAGGTTCCCGCCATGGCCAAAACCACAGAATTATGCAATTATGATGCATATCACAACCATGGAAATGCTTCTGTATACTTCATCATGATCATCATATCATCATCATTCATAAACATCTATACTCATTCACACCAATTATCATCCATCAATGCTTTTATATAAATACATCATGATCATCATATCATCCATTCAGATAGAAAATCATCATTCATCAAGCATAAATGCATATATACATATTCATCACTAAACCCCAAGCGTGTGGTTCAGCAGTAGGGGGTGATGAGGTTCGAATCCTACCTTGTGTATGCAGTCGCGTTAAATCTTGGGGTCAGTTATCCCACCTTTTGAGGTGCCTCCAACGTAGCGAGGAGGAATCTCCTGATAATCTACGTACGTCAAGCTTGGGAACCCATGCCCGACTTTAAGCCAAGAAAGAGAGCATTTTAAAGAGAGCATTTAAAACATCATAAAACATCATAAAGGAATCTCCTGATAATCTACGTACGTCAAGCTTGGGAACCCATGCCCGACTTTAAGCCAAGAAAGAGAGCATTTTACCCGACTTTAAGCCAAGAAAGAGAGCATTCTAGTCAACTCATGCCCAGCTTAATAATTACGTTCGGCTTAAAAATAACAAGCTCGACTTAATTACGCTCAGCTTAAAAATAACAAGCCCGTAATTACGCCAGCGCTTAAAAATAACAAGTTTGGCTTAATTCAAGCCCAACTTAAAAGCCCAGCTTTAAGCCGAGATAGAGAGCACCAAATTTATCTTGCGCTCGGTGTGAACATTTTCCCACCTGGTGCCAACACGTTTAGACAAGGCCTTCATACACATGAAGGCATGCCCGAATTTGAGCACTCAAGCCCGACATCGCGTGCGATCCAACGCCCAATTATCAACATCAAAATTCCTAGATCTTGAAATTAACGTTTCCACGATCAATCATACAAAGTATAATATCCTAGAACTCATTTTTCATCTAGAAATTCACCAATTTTATCATTTACAACTTTTACCCCTTAAATTTAACAAATTTCTCTCCTTAAGGTTCTAACCTCTTTCTATAGAGCACTCATTTAATTACACTAAAAATATCTGATCATCAAATAAATTATATATTCAAAATATACTCAATAAATCACATCAAATGCACATAACATCTCATCAAACAGAAAACTTATGGTATTGGGGTCAATCCTTCTACCATTCATGCATACACCCAATCCCTAAAAATGAGTGTTTGTACTCCTCCCTTACCTGGAGTGATGCAACGTACAAGCCTAATCTTCTTCCTCTTCTCCGGTGATCCATTCTCATTGCTCTTCCAATGTGTTCTCTTTAAAGCACGCAAGCGTCAAAGAACGTGAAAATAGAGGCATAAGAGGGTTTGATCAGAAAAATATTCTTTAAAAACCTAAACATTCCCTTAATCCTTCTTTAGTTAAAACACTTCACCACAGTTGCGAATTTCCTTCCCTTTTAATAAATATTATAACAACCTTTAATAAAATCTCTATATATTATATTCTAAAATATATTAATTAAATATTTAAAACAAATATTTAGCAACCTTTACTAATAAAATAAAAAATATATAAAAATTATTAATAAAACACTTATATTATATTTTATGAAAAATTGGGTGTTACACTTTCCACAAAGAAAAAAGATGAAGATAAGCAAAACAATCATGTGAGAGATCGATGATCAAATATTTTCAATGGTCATCTTCATTAAGACATCTATTTAAGAAAGCATGATGATTTACAAAGTAGAGTTGTTATTTCTCATTTAAACATATTCATTCTTTTTGTAAATCAATTTTGTATTATATTGATTGTATCGTATCTTGAAACTAAGACAAAACAACATTATTATCATACCTAGATATAACTGAGTTATTACTTTGAACTGAGAGAGACTTATCTGTTAAAAAATACTTGGTTGTTGAAACTTAGATAGACTTTATGTTAGAGAATATTTCAGTAATTATTTTAAAAGGCAAGTCAAAGAACACTTAATTAAGTTTGAGTCAAAAGTGAGTTGAAAAAAAAAAACTTGTATCTTTGTATAAAAATAGATGAACTTGATCTAATTAGATCAAAAACTAGATGTAATCTCGGTGATATGAATTAATATATAAAAATACCTTGTATTCATATTCTTGTATATTCACCTGCACTCCTTGTAATGACAATACTACTTCGTTATTTTAAAAAAGTGAATTTTTTTTATTAATATTATTCAATCTCCATCCATTTCTAGTGTATATATCTTTTCTCCACAATTACATAATTATTTGATAAAATCATATATATTAATTATATTTTTTAAAATTTTGTTAATTAAACGTCAAACAAAATGAAATAAAAGAGATATATATTTTCTTGTAAATTAAAAAACTTACCGCCATGTTATGGGAGTGTAAATACTTTTGAATTACCTAAATTTTTTTATATTAACACACCTCAAATATTATTAGAAAAGAAAAATATAACTATGATAAGTACTAGTAATATGATGTGATAAAAAAAAGAAAAAAAACAAAAAAAAAAAAAGAAAGAAAGAAAGAAAGGTGTCTGGTTAAATATTTTAAAAAAAAAGTAATGTCTAATAAATCCTTGCTCAAGTGTAATCATTTCCCATTTAATTAATGTTAAGCTTCCCTCAATTAGGTAACGAAATTTATGTGTATGACTTTATTTTGGGAATAATTTATGTTAAATTGAAAATGATATTCGTACGTCGTTTTTGTATTTATATTCTTTAATTATTTATTATATTTATTAATAATAGAGAGGTAAATTTTTAAAAAAGAATGATATCAAACAAATTAATACATGAATTCTTGTACGGTAATCAAATAATATTGAAATATTATTTAGGGATAGAAACAGATAAATAATGTAACTTGAAAGAGATAAACAGATAATAAGATCAAATTTACAAAAAAAAAATGTAAGTTGAAATAGTTGCGGGTAAAAAAAGTCTAGTTGCGAGATTATACTTGGGATGCACATGCATAGGATAAAAGAGATAAATCATTAAGAATATTTAATTGAGAGTAAAAAAAATGAAATTTTTATTGTCATTATTTATATGTGGATTTTACCTTATGAATTTCAACGGGAATAATGATAACATTTTTGTATAATTTAAATTTAATATAAATAAATTTGTAATATATAAATTATATTTTGAATACTATAAAAGAAAAAAAAATTAAAGTGAGATATAAGGTTATTTTAACTATCACAATAATTTTTTTTCAAAATTATTAAATTAAATTTATTTTATTTTAAATATGAGCATTTTATCTCATCCAGCAATTTTGCATCCAAAATGATCTTTTACAATAATAATAATAAAAATAAAATAAAAATAAAATAAAAAAAAGAGGTATAGTGAAAGCGGTGGACAACAAAGAAAAACAAGTAAAAATATATACGACTATTTATAAATCTTACTCTTGACGTACACTTGTAGGAGTTAATGTTATTCGAAATGTTATAAAGATTTTTTCTCTTAAGGGAGAATATTTAGGAATTATCATTCTGAGTAGTAAATTTTATCTTAATATCATATATTAAGCATTTAATTTCTTTTTTTAATTTTTATCTTTCAAATAATTTTTTTTTCATATTTAATTTGATTAAACACCGGACGAGAATTTTTTTTCACCAGATATTAAATCCATTTGAATTTTTCTATTTTAAAAAGTGTTTTAAATAATATATTTAAAGATAGAAAAGATTAAGGTATATTTTAATATCTGTATATATATCTGGGTACGTCAATAATGTTCTTTTATAAAATTTTATCAATTTTAACAAATAAAATTAATAATATAAAGATAATTTTATAAAATTAGTAGTCTCTTTCATCTATTATTAATTTTTTCTGAGTGTTCAAAAATTAGTACTACACCAATTATGGAATGAAGAGTGGGATCTTTAGCAGGAAGATGCCTTTTGAATTTAATTTAATATCCAAAATTATACTTAAGAAAAATTAATGATTAAAATAAATATATAGAAAAAGGAAACCACGCATAAAAAGTGCCATTTAATCATACTTTTCATTTGGCACATTAAAATATTTAAGTCAAGTTGATTTGAACCAATTTTTTTCTCAATACAAATCTACACTTGAGTAGTATTTAACTCAATTTCATTACACAATTCAAAATGATACTGCAATAGTCTTAAATTTAATATATATATATATATATATAATATAGTATGAATCACAATATTTGCAATGCATTTGAACTCGAACACATTTGATAACAGATATTTGATGATTAAAATAAAACTCTCCCACGCATAACAGTGACAAAATGCCCCAAATTATGAAAGTATATATATATATATATTCAACTCAAAGCATAACAGTAAGTATTCTTTATTTAACACATTTGGATATTAATTAGATCTTGGTGCAATCAGTGGGCTTAAAGGACACAGTCTTCTTCACAAAATCATATCCAACCAAGTGGTTTATCTGAGCTATGTTTCCAAATATTGAACCTGTTGCAATGGGTGCAAAAGCAAAGCATGATACTTCCTCAGAAACACTAACAAAAGTGTTCAAAGAGTTCAACACAACGTCAGCACCAGTAAAATGTGCTGTAACAGGTGGAACCTCAATCACACTATTTGGTGTAGACTTGTAACAAAGGCTTAAAATTTCGTTTGTGCTATTAACACGTTCTAAGATGATACGTGATGCCACTGCTGACTCCAATTTGGAGTAAAAACTTTGTGGCAATAAGGTAAGAGTGGTCCCTGAATCGATTATTATGTTACCGTCAGTGACATTTGAGATTGTTGAATCATCTAAAAGCTCAATCCTTTTTGTTCCAACACTCATTCCCTCCAATCTTAGATAATAGAATGTTTCAACAGAACCAGTTATGATTGGAGTAGACACTGTTCCAGGACCAGCCACCACAGCATTTTTTCCGAAGTTTAATTTACTTGTGGTTTTGGATTCAGACATTGGTACCAAGCAATAGGAGAATTTGAAATCAATTGAAGGACCTATTTGGGTGATAAGTGAAACAACACCACCTCCTAGACCAACTATGCCTGACCCTTGAGAATCAAATGTACCGGCATTGTTTACACCGCAGCCAATGGGAATCTTGAGAAATCCGATAGCAGAACCTAAAATTAAAAAATTAGCCATTAAATAAATGAAATTCATAAAAATTATGAAAAAAAAAATTAAAGCCTATTTAAAGACTACTTGTATTAACAAATTTAAGAGAAAAAAAGTATTAAAATATAAAATAGCTTGAATGAGTCTAATTGTGATCCTAATAACTCTGATTTACATTAAAATTTTCTATTAATAAAAATTATTTGAAAATAAATATAAAAATTGTGCAAAGTTTAACTTCTAAAGACATCAACAAATAAAAGGTTTATAACATTATAAAAATATAATATATTTAAAGCATCCAATTGTGATCTTGTATTTGTAAACTAAGAAGAAATATTTGGCATGAGTCTAAATATATGAAAATATATAGAAAAAAAACACTAATATAAATTAAACAACTGCAACCTTATAAAATATATGAGAATTTCCTTTAGTCTAAGACATTTCCCGTAATATCATATATGGATATTTTGAGGAAACAATATAAAATAACGACATGATAGCTCAATTGAGAAAATTATTTTAGAATAATTATACTTAGTACAAATGTTATGGGTACATGTATCATATTGTAAATCAATGAATGATATGATACTTCTAATCCCAAAGCAAATTTTTTATGCCATTAGTGTTATATCAGAATTTAACCATGGTTGATCAGAAATCTTCCTGTGACTCCAAAATACATCAATTAACAATTTTAAGCGAAAAAATTATAAACATCCAATATTCTTCATTATTAATGCATCCAATCATCATAATTCCAAATAAATATCATAGTTTTAATAAAAATTTCATGTAATTCTTAAACTAGACTCTTAAGATCTCTTCAAAAACAAATAAATAAATAATAACAATACAAGCAAATGAAACATCAAGCAAAGTCCATTCCAAACCTGTAGTAGAGTCCAACGTGAGTGTGTCAAAGGCAAGAGTTCCTTCTGAATGCGATCCATCACCATATGAAATAGTGTACTCGCAACTGGAATCACTATCAGAGTGGCAAGAGGTTTCACCAACCAATCCACAAACCCTAGAATAGCAAGACACAGGTTTGTAAGTTGAGGATTTTGAAGGGTCAAACAATGGACTCTTTTGGTTGTAACACTGATCGCAGGGCTTGCACTGTGACCAAACAAGGTCACTCCCCGTGTCAGCAATTCCAATCACTTCAAAAGGTGGTGTTCCAATAGAATACTTCACTAAGTATTCTCCTTGGTTGGAGCTTATCACAGATTGTGGTGTCTCTTGGGAAGCTTTTGATTTTGGATAAAAGTGGTTCACTCGATGAAAGGAGCGTTGAAAAGCCTTGTGAAGTTGCTGAAAAGGGGTTTCGGTAGGGTTGTAGAATGGAGAGTTTGGAGAATCTCGGTGAATGAGTTGCACACTGAAACCACCTTTCATTGTATCATTAGGGAATTTTCTACAGAAGCATAGTGTTGAGAATGTGAGTGTTAAGAAAACAAAGAGAATTTTGTGGTAAGAAGCCATGTTGTGAGTTGAATGAGTGGAACTCAATGGATTATGAAATGAGGGTTATGGTTAAAACACTATATATAGTGGCATTGGAAAGGAAAAGTGTGATTAAAGGTTGGTGATTGAAAGGATGAGTAATCTTTTCCAATTCCATTCAGTAAAAACCGATTCATTACAATTAATTCTATGCATGTATGAGAGTTAGGGAATGCATGCAGATAATTAACTGTGCAGATTTTTTTTTTTTTTTTTTATCTTAGTGATTACTTAACTAAATTATAATCATCCGTGTCTCTTAAATTCTGATTTTTTTATTCCAATTTATTGTCCATTTTAGAAGCTTTCATGTAGACGAGACTACGTGTTTTAATCACCTATTTTTTAATTGATTTTGTATACATTTTGTGGGCAGTGCATATATATTTCTTGAATGCTTAATATACATCCAAAGAGAAATGATAAATATATATCATATATGAAAGAACCAGAAGAATATATTGTTGAATTCATTGATGCGTTTCTAAAAATATGAGAAAAATAGACAATACACTATCAGTAAAATGTCAAGTTTAATATTACTTATATACTAGAATATAAATCTGTGTAATGTACGAGAGAAAAAATTCATGAAACTAACATTATTTATTTTATACTAACATATTAATTTTAGACCTTAAAAATTATTAAATAATATTACTTTTAAACTGAAAATATTTGATTCAATAATATTAATAAGAATTGACCTTCGAAATATTAGTTAATGTAATATTTTAAAAATTTTGATACAGTATTATAAATTTTCTTAACATTATCTTATTTTTAAAATAATAATTTTTAAATTTTAGTTACCATATTTAAAATAAATGGATAAATACAGATGTTTTATTTTGAATATCTTATAATTTTTTTTTCCGGCAGGTTAAAATAAAAATATTTACTATTCAATTTTATTATAATTTTTTTAGAATAATGTTTTAATTATTATGATATATATATATTTATTTAAAATTGTTAAAATTTCAAATATTTAACATAAGTAATTATATTAAATTATTTTAAATATATTATGAAAGTGTAAAATAAAGAGAAAAAAACTCTAAAAAAATCCGGAAAAAAATAAAAATAATTACAATAGATAAAAATCTGCACAGACCTTATCTTTTAAAGATAAGGCTTATCTCCTACTAACTAAAGAGTTAATGCTTAGTTATATTCTAACTAAGTTTAAAATAAATAGATAAATAAAAGTAAAAATAAAAAATCTAATCTATATATAGGATGAGGGAGGGGGACCATCAGAAGGTAAAAACAAAGATAAAAAGAGAGAGTGGGAACGTGAAGGAAGAGAAAGAAAGAGTAAGAAGAAGATAAATGAGGAAAAAAGAATTCTTGTAGGCAGTTTTAAATTTTTTCTAAAATAATTCTACTTTTCTATTAAGGTATGGGGAAGACTTTTATCTCTTTTAAATTTTTATTTCATATATGTTTATATTTATTTTATGTTGTCTATATTTAATAATAGTGAAGTATCTCTAACCTCATTTACTTGCTTAATTTATGATACTTTTTACTCTAAATAATTAACAAGGTGTTGCTAGTTTATGTTATTTAATTCTTTTATGATATTTATCACTGTCATTTACTTGATTAATATTTTTTAAGATATTTCATTTACGTAAACTATATTATAAATTTAAAATAATTAAAAATGCTCAAACTTATTTAGCTTAATTATTTTTATATTAATATTAACTATAATATAATTTTGTTAAAATATCCTAAGTTCATCTTGTTGTTATTTCTTCATACGCAATATAAAGATAAATGTTATTCTATGACCGTAAGAAATAAAGTTTGAATTAATTTGTAGTCGAAAGTTTGACTTTGGGGATTGAAATGAATAAGGACTTAAGATGAAATATTCTTTTGTTGGTTGATATTATTATACTCATTTATCCTGATTAGTCACTACTAAAATAAATTCAAATTTTAATATAACATAAAAATCTAAAATATATATTCATATATATATATATATATATATAATATTGGTTATAAATAATTTTGTACATTCAATTTATTTATTTATATTTATTGGATAATTATTCTCACTCCTTATTTTTTTCTCCTTCTAATAAAAAAAATTGAATTATTTATAATGGAAAATAGATGGACCTGTCAACCATACCAGACCCTTTCACTACCATTTTTTGGGTACCACTTGGAGTATGGACGTCACTACAAATGTTGTTACCTTTCAAGGCATTGGAGTATCGTCATTTGTGTTTTCACCAACCCAACAATATCCTATAATTGTAGATGGCCAAATAGTAGTTACTTTTTTTCTACCCCAGCCAATCACATTAATCTAATAGTAAACATGTATCAACCTAACATGTAAATATTGTAGTAAGAGTGTGAGAAAAAAAAAGTTTGTAAATAAATACATTACTATAAATAGTTTAGAAATGTACATGATGTAAATATAAGTTAACAATACGTAAACAAGTTCATAAAATTTTCTTTATTTTTCTGTAAAATATTATTAATAATATAGTTGTGTTAATAATGTATAATATATATATATATATATATATATATTTAATATTAT